ACCCCCTCCCCCTCTGGGTCAGTCGCCCGTGCGCCCTCCCCTTCTCGTCGGCGACGTCCCGCCGGCCGGTCTCAATGTCGACATCCATATCCCGCTGGTCTTAGTCCCTTCCTGGCTGAGAGCTTTTGTCGTCGAGCCCCCTTTTCCAGCAATCGGCCACGACCATTTTTGGGCTTCTCTTCCTTTTGGTCGGCCACTTTCCGGCCTCTCCACCTTGCTGGCGACGTCCATTGGCCTTCTTTGCCAGCACTGAGCTTGTGACGACCCTGCGATGCAAAATCCGGCATTCGACCCCTCCTCTTAAAGGTACATTTTGGTTATATTTTCATATGTCAAAATTAATTATTTTTTGGTACTTTGCATACCTCACTGATTTTTTTCTCCTGCCCTCATTGAGTCTTTTTGTTGACCGGTGCACGTTATACGAGTTACATTGGAGCTCGGATCGGAGCACCCCCGGGATTCGTCGGAAAAGTGGGCTCTCCTTCAACATAAAGAGAACGCATTCGCAACCGTTACGGTGTTGAGATCCCCTAAACTCTTAGTGAGCCCTAGGTTTAGTGGTGTTTAGGTGTGTGGTTTTGATCGCCCACACGGGGTGCGTGCGCCGGCGTGGGTCGGCGCGATGACGTGCCTGCGTGATGGATCTTTGGATTTCCTAGAGCTAGCCTTTAGGTTAGGATTTGTGTAGCCAACACCCTTCGTAGAGCCGAGTGTCTCTCATTTGTTGTGAGCCTTAACACAAGTCCTGATGGGTCGGAGTCCATCACTCCCCTTACTTTGGGTTTCCCAGCTTTACTTGAAAAAACTGGGAGGTTGGACTTGACAAAACTAGATAAGCTTTAAAGCTGACTCGTTTTGCAAAGTCCGGAGTCCACGAAATGGGAAAAGCTTTGCAGCTAGCCCATTTCGTGACACTTTGAAGAGTTTCCCCCTTGGAGATCCGAGGAAAAACTCCCACATTTCTTCACCAGAGCAAGAGGTTGTTAGCACGAGCCCGGTTTGCTATCTACATTTTGGTTTGCTGCATATTGAATTTTTGCTTGGTGCATGTTGCATTTCACTTTGCTCCAACCGACCGCCCGGTCCGGCAAGCATTTCACTTTGCTCCGATCAGTCGTCCCAACCCGACGAGCATTTCACTTTGCTTCGATCGGTCGCCCCGGCCAGATGAGCATCTCACTTCGCTCTTACCGTCCGCCCCAGTCCGGTGAGCATCGTACTTCGCTCCAACAGGCCGTCTCCGGCCCGACGAGCATTTCACTTCTCTCTGATCGTCCGCCCAGGCTCGATAAGCGTCTCACTTTGGTTCGACCGACCACCACGGTCTGATCGACCGATCACTTGCATTTTTGTTTGATTTTGCATTATATCACATGTTTGTCTTTTTTCAATGTTTGTCTTCTTTCATGTTGCATATTGTATGTGTTAGCTTGCATGATCATTATCATTTGCTTGTGTTGCACTTCTTTGGGTCACTGCTGGTACGACACATCCATCCCTTTTGGTCACTGCCACGTCACACCTTCCTTGGGCCGCTGCCATGCCGCTGCTGTCATGACAAACCCATCACTTTTGGTCAATATTTCCTCTACACACCTTTGAGTCGCTGTCGCCACGACACGCCCATCCATTCCAGTCACTGCCTCTTTGACACACTTTCTTCGGGCTGCCGCCATGACACGCCCATCTCTTTTGGTCACTGCCGCTTCGGCACACCTTCGGGCCACTGCCGCCACGACACGCTTATCCATTTCGGTCACTGGTGCCTCGACACACCTTCCTCGAGTCGCTGTCTCTACGATATGCTCATCTTTTTCGGAGTCACTGCCCACGGTACACTCATCACTTCTGTCACATGATTGTTTGCAATTGCATTTGCATGTTTGCATTGATAGCGAGCCAGACTCGTTAGGTGAGTGACCCTGTGTCGGTCGCGATGCCTTGACGAGCATTGCTTGCTAGGTTGATCCCGATGAGCAATGCGAGTTAAGTCATCGACATTGACATGATTATGATTGTGCTAAAGATCTAATAGATCTAACTCGTGTCACCACTCTTCGTGACACCCTTTAGATCCTTCAGATCTTTAGGAAGGGGGCTTGTATAGCGACCCCGTCAAAGTCTTATTATACCCAAACTTACCCCACACTTAGGTACTAGGTTGGTGCACTTTTCGCTAGATTGTGTGCTAGACTAGGATTTTGGGTACTAAGTAGTTTTTTTTATGTCTAGCAATTGTTCTCTACTGGATTGATTGTCATAGCCAGAAATCTCTTTTTTGCATTGTGTTTGTGGTGTGACTGCATGCTACATATGTGTGGTAGTGTGTTAGAGTTTTTCTGCAGGGAGCCATGTCTATTATGCACACACACATATATCGCTATGGGAGAACAAGTAATGATTTCTAACAATCTGCTTGCAGGTGCTATTTAGCTCCTCCACTTTTATGGCATGACTCATTATACATTATTTGCATGTGAAATTTCCCGCTGACACTTATTTTCATGCAGGATTGAGTCTTTTTTTTTTTCATTTCCTATGTACTTTTTAGAAGTTTAGGGGAGTCTTATAACAGAAATAAGATACAAGCACGAGTTTCGAGGTGTTTGGCACGGGAACCATGTGAGCAGATGCTCTTGCCCTGTATCTTAATTATGCATTTTATATTGATGTATAAAATTAGGACCGGGCATGTATATGCGAAATTCGACCGCCTTTTTCTTTTCTGGGATATGTTGCCGACCTAGGGGCACCGACCTGTTTATTAGTTTGACCAGCGGCGCTGGCCTGTTTATTATTTTGGTTTGACTTGCTTAGCTTTCTTTACATCATGTTGCATGTCTGCACTTGCATGTGTTTTATTTGTTTCTTTCTATGTTTTATCTGGGATTTCACGACCCTAAAATTGTAATTTTCCATAAAATCCTAAATAAAATATTCAAGATAATTAAAATTTAGGATTAAAATATTCATGATTTAAAAATTTCACATTTACTTTCCTGCACATATTAATAGTGCTTCCACAATACTTAAGTACCGTTATAGATGTCTCAAAGAAGAGTGTCTGTCTTCTCCAGCCTGATTGACCCAACATACATTTATATAAGTGGTTGTCTAGTGCGCCTAGGGTATTAGAAGACTTCCCGACCCAGACGGAAGTCTTTCTGTTTGGAGCGTTTCCAGTTTTGTTACTGAACCCACACACTTTCTTCTTTTCTGAGGCATCATTGCCACTTCGGCATGAATAAGTCTCACCTCTTGGAGCTCCAGCTTACAGTTATAGGATAAAGTTCCTTCCTTTGGCCTTAGGGATACCGAGATCCATTGTGGACGACGCAATTCACAGATTACTGACCGGAGATTTTTGGACGTGTTGGGTCGACTATCTTCTCGACTAGGTAAACTTAGGATCCTAGTAGTTGTGTATGACGGGTCCATGGTACCCCGACCCAGTTACCTCTACCTTTTTAGGATCACTCTACCTTTTTTTTATTGAGCCTCTTTGAGCCTTGTCGTTCATCGACTTTGTTGATATCACATTTACGGCCTAATGTCGATGAGCTGCCACCCATTTGAGATACGACAATTTGTCCTTTGCCCTTATGACCCGGACGTGCTTTGACTTGTTGGGATATCCCCATCGAGATGATTTAGGTTAGGTGTTTCCATTAGCCGCTACCCATTTGGGATGTGAGAGACTCACTCTCTGCCCGTTGACTTAGCCCGAGCTTTAAAGCATCGGGATTGTTCACGCACCGATTAACATTCCTTTGAGTACTTATTTCCCCAAGTTCATGATAATCCAAGCGAAATCCCTTTTTTCGAGAGTACTTTTAGGTACCTCCAAGATGTTTTGTGTTTTCTCTTGTTTGGCGCTTTGTCGTATGTCCCTCCTTTTTGGTTCTTCCCTTCTCGTTGTCATTCACATGACTTAAAAAATAAATTTATTTTGAAAAGGAAAGTATACAACGATCGACAGATTGTCGATACCTTTTTAAAATAAAAAAGAGAAAAACGAACAAAAAACATACAATAATATAGAAAAATATTAATTTGTTCGAAATAATTCATCACAAATTATAGAACAACAAGTAATATGCAATTTACTGTCTCTCTTATTTATGCACGCGTGAATTCTTTTTGGACAATTGAACGAATCTAATCAAACGAACGCAAACAATTGTATAAAATCTTGATTGCAAGCCTATGCTTCCAACCAGCCAAAAGGCTACCATATATTTTATGACTTAAACATTGTAACTTATATTTAAATGACACCATAATTAAAATTAGGATTTTATTTTATGGAAGACACGATACTTTCAAAATTGTGTTTTTCGAAAAGACTAATTGCTTCTGAACAATAGTTTTTCAATAACAATTTTTTTCACAGACACAGCAGAGCCGAAACAAACCCACGCTTTATAAAATAAGAACTTATTATTGTTGTTGTATATTTAATTGACTGAAAATCCACTACATTAAAAAAAAAGGGGTAACAAATGTAACCAAACACAAACTAATTTCAAAGCCTCGAGAGAACAAAATTAGGATCAAACAAATAAATACCAAAACTCACAAAACCACGAAAAATATTACATCAGTACTACGCACGTAGAGTAACGTGCGTAGTCCATGAAATCACGTCACCACACCCCACGCGATAGGAAGAAAAAAAACGGTACGGCAATGGGGAATATTCCCCCCCGTATTATTCATGTGTTATTCATGTGTTATTGATGTGTTATTTTGTTATTATAACACAAAGAGTATTATTTAGACACAGTAACACATGAATAACACACAATAACACCAAAATAACATGGAGGAATATTCCCGACAGAAAAAACGTCGCGGTAACACAGGGGAGTATTCCTCCCGTGTTATTCATGTGTTATTATGTTAGTATAACACCAGAAATATTCCCGAGACACAATAATACACAATTAATATTTTTTCTAAAACCACAAGCACTTTTCCGAAATTGCATTTGCACACCCAATTCTATTTCTCCGCAAATCCAACCAATTCCCCCAAATTCGCTCTCCCTCAATCCCATATAACCCCCCATATCCCTATCTGCTCCTCCCTCCCTCCCTCCCTCCCAACCCTCTAACCCTAAACCTCAAACATGAGACCCATCTTCGTCGTCTCCCTCATCCTCATCCTCTCGCTCCTCCACCCTCCCACCACCTCCGCCAACTTCGAAACCTCCCTCAAATTCTTCTGCAGCCGCACCTCCTACTTCAACCTCTGCGTCCGATCGATCAAGGAAACAGCTCCCCGACTCAGAAGACTCAACGTCAACACCGTCCTCGCGGTCTTGATGCGTGCCGCTGACGTCAAGGCTCGTGAGGGTAAGTCTTTCGCCCTCAAGCTCGCCAAGCATTCTCGTTACAATGCCAGAACGCGAGAGCTCCTCCGCGATTGTGCCCCCGCGGCCGCCGGCAGGGCCATCAGATCCGGCGATGCCGGTACCCGAGACGCCATGATGAGCTCTGCCATCTCGAACCTGGGGACCTGCGAGGATGGATTCAGCGAGTTCTTCATCAAATCGCCGTTGGCGGATCGGACTAGGGTGCTCAAGTATATGGTCGACAATTGCCTTGCCATTGCCGGTATGAGAAGGCCCTAAGGTTTCTTTTATATCCAGCTTCAATCTTCATTTATGGATGTTGTGGAAATCATGGCTGGTTCTTGTCGTTATTATTGATGGTTTAATTTAAAGAAAAGTGTTATATGAAAATTTTTAATTATATATTTATATACATGTGTGCGATGGATAGGGCTGTGATATATGATTGATTGTGTTGTAACGGACGGTGGTGATCAGCTGAGTTGGAGTGAGATTATGTTGGTTTGATTTTGTGGGAAGTTTTTGGTCCATGTAAGTTTGAATTTAATAAGAAGTGAATTATTTTTATTCTTTTCCTTTTTTTTAAGCTTTGGTTGGTGTATGATGAATGTTGTTTATTGTCCATCAAGGGTATGTTTAAAAGAAATTTTTTGATACTAGTCTACAAATTAATAGTGTATTGTTGAGCCTGAAATTTTCTGGAAGATATGCACGAAGAATAGAGCATCGCGAGATGTGAATGAAAAAGAGTGGGGGAGAGCAATAACACAATATCGAATGGTAAGACTATGTTGTCTCTAATAATTGAAAGGGTCTCCTGTATATAGGAATAGATTAATACAAATTACACGTTGTACCCCTCCAATACGTAGGGGTGGGGGGTTCTTCAGTTTGTGTGTAGATTTAATCAGTGGGTCCCAAAGGTATAGCTGGGCGGCTGTGAATCTAGGCGCTGCAAGGCGGGGCGGCTGCAAGTTTAGGCAACTGTGTACTGAAGGCCTTCGTTATATGCCCTGAAACCGTAGGTGTCCACTTTTCTTTTCTGACATATATGGGTGGCGATAGGATTATTCTCCAGGACACGATTAACTGAATCGTCTAGAGATGATTTTTCTCCTGTTCATCTGAGGATTGTTCCTATTGTGTGGGAGGTTAGTTGCCTCGAGC